TGTGGGGGACGAGGCCTGCAGGGGAGGGCAGTTGGGGGCGACCAGGCCAGAAGGGGAGGGCAGTTGGGGGCAACCAGCCGGCAGGGGAGGGCAGTTAGGGGTAACCAGGCCAACAGGGGAGGGCAATTAGGGGTGACCAGGCCAGCAGGGGAGGGCAGTTAGGGCAATCAGACTGGCAGGGGAGCAGTTAGGCATTGATCAGGCTGGCAGGGGAGTGGTTAGGGGGTGATCAGGCTGGCAGGCAGAAGTGGTTAGGGGCAATCAGGCAGGCAGGCAGGCGAGCGGTTGGGAGCCAACAGTCGTGGATTGTGAGAGGGATGTCCGACTACCCTCAAGGGGTCCCAGATTGGAGAGAGTGCAGACTGGGCTGAGAGACACATAATCCCCCCACCCCTCATGCATGAATTTTGTGCACCGGGCCTCTAGTCTATTTTAAATACTAAGACACCGAGTTTGTGAAATCATGCACTTTCGAAAACCACAACACGGAGGGCGCTTCCTGTGTAAGACCTGGACTGTGAGCTCTTGATGAATTTTGCTGCTTTAAGTCACATCATCGGAGCCCCAGGTACAGAGGGAGCCAGCCCTGCCTGCGGGTCCAGGTGCTGAAGCAGCCCAGCGGCTGTGGACCCTGTGGGCACAGGGGCTGGGTTTGGACTATGCCCGGCGTGAGCTCTGCGCAGAGAGAACGTGTCTCCCAACTCAGGCTCCTGTGCTGGGCTTTCATTCCAACTGCTCTCATTATCTTATTAACAAAGCCTTGGCGAATCCTGCTTCCAACAGGCCTTACCTGGAGCAGTCAGATGGATCACATAACCATCGCCCACATAGAGCGCCCAGTCACGGTAGAGCCTGTGAGAGATCTCAATCATGTCTCCAGGCCTGGGATCTTCAACCAACTGTAAGAGGAAAACCAGAGATGGTAGACAGGCTGCCAGGCAACAGCAGAGACCCTGGCAGGAGCTGCAGCACGGCCTGGGGACCCCAGGCTGCTGTTCATCATCTGTCACCCAGGGAATACCTTGTCTTTCTGAGGGGAACCAGGAGCTAGAACCCGGGAAAACGAACTTCTGGGATGGAGAAAGGAGCACGGTCTGGGTGGCATAGGATGTGAGTGTGTGTGTGTGTGTGTGTGTGTGTGTGTGTGTGTGTGTGTTGTGCATACATGCACACACACAGTGGATACAGACGTATATATGCAGGTGGGATGCACATGTGTCCTGATTGTAATGACATGACAGGCTGCATGTAGAACCCCTTCCCTGAGGCTGGGGCCCCAGGCCCATCCCCAACAACGTGGGGCAGGTGAGTCTGAGCGTCTCGGCCTCACACACTGCCCTCATGTCTCCATCACGCCTCTGGCCTGGCTGTGCTTGGCTGCAACACGGGCCTCCTCCAGCCCGGAGTCACCCACCCCTGGAGATGCCAACCAGAGAGACAGGAAATGACAGCACCCTACCAGTCACCAAGCCTTCCAGGGGGCCTAGTGTGGCTGCCTAGCTTCCTGCACTGGTCAGGTTGGGGGCAGGTGGGGCTCACACACTTAGGCAGCAGGCTCTGTTGGCACATTTCCCCCCAAACAGCCACCCTCCCAAGCCCAGGGGAAGGAAGCAGCACCCTTTGCTCCGCTGGGGAAACTGAGGATCAGAGAGGGAGAGGGACTTGCCCAGAGACACTCAGCTGGCAATGGCTGCACTGGGTCTTCACTACCCCGCCCCTTCCTGGTTCCCTTCCCTCCATCCCTTCCTGCTGTACCACCTCATCCCTGCACCTCAGTGTCCCTGCCCAGGGAGCCACAGCTTCATGACTTGAGAATTTTTCAGTTTATCTTCCTGTTTGGGCCTGACCTCAGCTAACCTCATGCAGTGCTCACCCCAGGCCGCCCAATCTGAGACCAGGGGCCAGCTTCCCTTTGCCCTCATTCCATGCCAACATCCAACAGTGGTCATTTAGCCTGGAAGCTTCTCTGGAATTCCCACCTTTGTTCATCTTTCCCCCATGACTTCATTCAGGGCCATTCTGTTCCCAATTATGTGACCCCATGTTTTCCTGACCAACCCCCAGACTTCTGTCCCACCCACTCCAGGGCCGGAGTGAGCCTCCCTGGTGGGGCCATTTGGTCATAATGGGGCGGAAAGTGGAGGGGTTTCGTGCCTGGGCTCCTGGCGCCAGAGCTCTGAGGGTGAACGTGGAAATGGCTCTGTGATATGGACTCTACCTGGGCTCTCCCTCTGCAGAGGGAGGTGGTGGCAGAGCTGAGGGGAGACAATGGGAAAGCATGGCCTCAGGAATCACTGTGCTCTGTGTACTGTTCCCAAGTGCAGCCTGGAAACTTCTATCTCCGCCCCCACCTCAGCCTGAACTCCAGACTTGCAGGTCCAACTGCTACTCAACAGGTCCACCTGGATGTCTAACTGGTCACCTCAACACCCCACCTGAGTATCAAATCCTTAATTTCCCTCCCAAACCTGCTCCTCCTCCCCTCATCTCCTCCATCCAGGCTGCCCATCACCCAGTCACGGGCTGTGAGCCCTGGAGGTGCTGTGGTTCAGCAGAAAGAGCAGGGAGCACTGGGCATTGAATCCTACTCCTGCCTCTTAACTAGCTGTGTTTTAATAAGAGGGAAAGAGGGTAGCGGTAAGGATGTGCCCAGATCTTACATAACATGTCCTCGAGCTCTTACATGGGCCACAGACCTTGAGCATCTCTTGCCCGAGGGCTCTCCGGGGCCTTAGGAGACCTGTCCTGGTCCAGGGTTGGCCCAGACTTTCCCTGACAGCACACAGGGCTTCAGCAGCTGCCTTTAGGGTGGGTCTTAGAGGCAAAGGATTCTAAAGGAATAGAGGTGGCCAGAGCCCCAGAGGTCCTCCAAACATTCCCTCCTTCTGCACATGGGGAAACTGAGGCCAGAGAGGAAGTGACCTGTTCAAAGACCCCGAGTGAATCAGGAATAGTTCTGAGATTTGATCTCAGACATCCTGACTCCCAGCCAGCAGGAAGCAGGGAGCATAATTTTGCCTCATTCCTGGAAAGTTTCTCTTCTGGATGCATAGTCCTGTCACCTTCACCCCAAGCAGATCCCCAGAAGGTAGAGGGAGCCTCCCACAGAGGGCCTTACCTGCCCGCTGAGGGCATTGCCATATCTCAGATCCGTGACAAAGTGCTCACAGTTCATTTTCTTATCCGGCTGCCCCATCTTCTTACCAACCAACCCGTTCACAAACTTGATGATCTCCTTTATGGGCCGTGGTGTGTACAGGTGGTCCAAATAGTTGTTGACCTTATATGAGCAGTACTCCAGCACTTCCACAAGGAGCTCCTTTTTCACCACCCCTAAAGCGGTGGGGGCGCCAGCCTCAGAGTTCTCCTCTGGAATCAGACACATGAGTATCAGGAACTGCAGGGGAGGCCAGGGAGGGAGAGAGAAGACACAAGACAGGGAAGAAGGGCCAGGGGATCACACTATTCAGCTTTGCTGTCTGTCCCTTCACCAATGTGATTGGAGGATTCAGTGATTTTGCTCTTTTCCTTAATGAGCTGTGAATACTTTTCATGTTAATCAATGGTGTGATGGTCATCCCCTGCCATTGTGCTCCATGATATGAGTGGACATCATCTAGTTGACCAAGTCCCTATTATTGGCTGGTCCATAGCTTATCCATTGTAAACAGCAGTAGTAAATGGTATTTATTCATATTTGCACTTGTATATTTCAAAAAGAGATCAAAGTTGTTTTAGTCCCCACTGTGTTTCAGACACTCTGCTGTGATCATCCTATGTAATAAAAGTACAGCGACCGAATGGCAGAACGACCGGAACAACCCCGGCCCCTCACCCAGGCGGCACCGCCCCCCCAAGCTGGCCTTCCCCTAAACCCCACCCTCCACCCCTAAATCACTCCCTGCTCCCTGGTGCATGTGAATGTAGTGAAAGCACAAGAAAATAATTATCAGTCCCTTCTGTCCCCAACCAGAGTCTCCAGACGGCTCTGCTAACCCTGCAGCCAAGTGTGGAATTCTCCCTCCACGGCCCGCAGCCGTAGGAGACCTTCCAAAATAGCCAAAAGGGCGACCTAAGCATTAAGGGGATGGCGGCCCTTTGCTAGGAATGTAGAGAGGCTGGGTGGGGATTCTGTGATATTGCGGTGCCTTGCAGATTTGGGGAGCTTTCAATTTCTCTTTAAAAGCGGTGGCAAAGAGGTCGCTCAGGCTGCCAGGAACAACAGCGAAGGGTAGGCACATTCACAAACAGAAAAACTTTTAAACAAACAGACATGAAGATCATATTGGGAACTGAGGGCAGAGCCCCGGGAAGAACGCAAAAATCATCCAAGGGTCATCATTCACCTTGATATACGTGTGCAAGCAACACATAAACAACTTCATCTCATGGCACGAGAAAGCAAAACTGTTCTGTTGTGGGTTGTCTTTGTGCCATCCGTAAAGAATAATTACATTCAGCTGGGGGAAAGCTATAGCTTCCCGATTAGACCCCACGGCCGGCCCTGCCCAATGGGCCCCCATCAGGGTGGGGCCGCGGGACCCCACCTGTGCACAAATTCGTGCACCGCGCCACTAGTTTCATATATTTTCTAACTTATTCTCATTTGGAATTTCATGATAAATACTCTTATCTCCATTTGACAACCGATATTGGACCCTGAGGCATCATCAGCCTTTTCTGGCAGCTCTGGCCACATGGAGAGTCCACACAGCACTTCCAGCTGGTGGCGTCCAAATCCCATTGAGCCTGGAGCCTGGGTTTTGCTCTCTAAGAGGAGGGAACTAAGGAGTAGGCAAACCAGCAGGCTCCCTTTATGTGCTGAGTCTCCAGGCTGAGGCTGAATTTACCACCCGTCCTTGAGGAAACACCACCTGCACTCACACAGCAGGACCCGGTCCTCACAGTCACGCTCCCTGTTCCCAGCCTCCTAAGTGTCGTCTGCATTAGGTGGGTTTCGCTTACTATTTGCCATCCATTCTGACAGTTTTCCACTCTGTCAGTGTAGGTGACAGCGTACAGAACCTGGTCAGTGACAAGCAGATTCTTCTGATCGTAAGACGGTTGTGTCCAGCGAGAACACAAACGCTTGCTGTCGGAGGTGTGGGTGCCATTGCTCTGCAGGGCACCAGCCCCTGTGCTCCCAGTGCGCGGTCTCATCCCAGCACCTTTCTCTCATGGACGATACACAGTGTGGGGCCTGCCTGCTCCTCTGACTGGCTGTCATCCTGCTTCTGCTGTCCCTGCAGTCCATCAAGGTTCCAGGTGCTCGTGTGTGTCTGTGTGAGACTCTGTGATGTGTGACCTGGGAGAGCTGCTCCGTGGAGGGTGTTCAGGAAAGCCTCTCAGGACGCCCTGTTCTGTGACATCCTCTGAGCAACAGGACACAGCACTGAGAGGCAGTCCCTTCCTGAGACCGGGACCCCCAGAGATGCTGCTGGTTTAGGGAAATCTGTCTGCGCGCCCAGCTAACGGGCCGGAGCTGGAGAGCATCCAATGCGGGCGCAGCTCGGCTTCCCTGTGGCCCACGGACCTCTTTCCCTGCTGGGTCAGGACCTGAGGGACCACTGAGATGCCCCCAAGGGACAGGGATGTGCAGTGAGCACAAGCCCTGCCCAGGGAGAACCCACATGGGTTCCCAGGGTGACATTTGGCTTTGAATTGTTCTCATCATGTAAACAATCTCTGGAGACTTACAGTTTCAACCCCCCTTACCTGGGGGAGCCAGGTGGACCACATAACCATCGCCCACATAGAGGGCCCAGTGCGAGGAGCCGATGCGGGAAATCTCAATCAGGTCTCCAGGCTTGGGCTCTGCACGAAACTGGGAGAAAACAGCCAGGAAGGTGAGACAGATTTCAGGGAGCTGCAGAGGCCCGGGCTGGAGCTGCCACTCCACCTAGGGATTTGCTTACTGATGCTCACCCCATGGGAAGAGTGTGTGTGTTTGGGGAACTCCTTTCCCCTGTGGGGTCCTCAGCCTGCTATAGCTTCTAGAGGTTGCCCTGTGAGTAACTGGAAGCCTGGAAAAATGTCCTTGTGCATTGGGGGAGTGAAGATGTGTACAGAATGTGTGTGTAATGTATGTGTGTCTGTGTGTATTGTGCATGGATATGTTGTGTGTTGCATGTACATGCACACACACTAGGATGCCGACATGCATATGCAGGTGTACTGTGTACGTGTCTGGAGGGTGATAACACAACAGCCTGTATGTAAACCCCCTTCCCTGAGGCTGGGGCCCAGGCCCATCCCCCACAACATTGTCCAGGTGAGTCTGAGCTTCTCTGCTCTCACACTCTGACCCTCATGTCTCCATCCTGTGTTTGCCCTGGCTGTGCATGGCCCCAACACCCACCACCTCACACTCTGCCCTCTCAGCCCCATACACGGACCCCTGAAGATGCTGAGCTGACAGACAGCAGGTGACAGCATCCTGAGGGCACCTGAGCATTGGAGAAGGCCTTCCTGTTGTTGCCCAGCTTCCTGCCCTGGGGACAGGGCTCACAGTCCCCCAGCAGGCTCTGCTGGCACATTTCCCCCATAACTGCCACACTCCCAAGCCCAGGGGAAGGAAGCAGCACCCTCGTGCTCAGCTGGGGAAACTGAGGATCAGAGAGGTAGAGGGACTTGCCCAGGGACACTCAGCCGGCAGTGGCTGCACTGGGTCTTCTCTGCCCCGACCCTTCCTGGTCCCCTTTCCTCCCTCCCTCCCTCCTTCCTTATCACCTCCTCCCTGCTCCTCAGTGTCCCTTCCCAGGGCACCACAGCTTCCTGATTTGAGAATTTTTCAGTTTATCTTCCTGTTTGTGTCTGACCTCAGCTAACCTCCTGCAGTGCTCACCCCAGGCCGCCCAATCTGAGACCAGGGGCCAGCTTCCCTTTGCCCTCATTCCATGCCAACATCCAACAGGGGTCATTTAGCCTGGAAGCTTCTCTGAATTCACTTCTTTGTCCATCTTTCCTCCATGACTTTATTCAGGGCCATCCTGTTCCCGATTATGTGACCCCATGTTTTCCTGAGAAACCCCCAGACTTCTGCCCCACTCACTCCAGTGCCTGTGTGAGCCTCCATGGTGGGGCCATTTGGTCCTAAAGGGAAAGGATAGGGGAGGTGGCTTGGTGCCTGGGCTCCTGGGGCCAGAGCTCTGGTGGTAAAAGTGGGAATGGCTCTGCGGTCTGGGCTCTACTTGGGCTCTCCCTCTGCAGAGGGAGGTGGTGGCAGAGCTGAGGGGAGACAATGGGAAAGCATGCCCTCAGGGATCACTGTGCTCTGTGTACTGTTCCCAAGTGCAGCCTGGAAAATTCTATCTTCAGCCCCACCTCAGCCCTGAACCGCAGACTCACAAGTCGAGCTGCTACTCAACAGGTCCACCTGGATGTCTAATGGTCACCTTAACATCCCACCTGAGCATCAAATCCTTATTAATTTCCCTCCCAAACCTCCTCCTCCTTCTATCATCTCCTCCATCCAGGCTGCCCATCACCCAATCACAGGGGCTGTGAGCCCTGGAGGCGCTGTGGTTCAGCAGATAGAGCCGGGAGCACTTTGCATTGAATCCTGCTCCTGCCTCTTACTAGCTGCGTTTTAGTAAGAGGGAAAGAGGAGAGCGGTAAGGATGTGCCCAGACCTTACATAACATGTCCTCGAGCTCTTACATGGGCCACAGGCCTTGAGCATCTCTTGCCCGAGGGCTCTCTGGGGCCTTAGGAGACCTGTCATGGTCCTGGGTTGGCCCAGACTTTCCCTGACAGCACACAGGGCATCAGGAGCTGCCTTTAGGGTGGGTCTTAGAGGCAAAGGATCCTAAAGGGATAGAGGTGGCCAGAGCCCCAGAGGTCCTCCAACATCCTCTCCTTCTGCACATGGGGAAACTGAGGCCAGAGAAGAAGTGACCTGTTCAAAGACCCCTAGTGGATCAGGAACAGACCAGAGATTGCTTCTCAGATATCCTGAATCCCAGCCAGCAGGAAGCAGAGAGCATAATTTTGCATCATTCAGGGTAAGTTTTTCTTCTGGATGCAAAGCCCTCTCCTCCCCTCTCCCCCAAGCAGATGTCTAGGAGTGAGAAGGAGCCCCCCAGAGAGGGCCTTACCTGCCGGCTGCGTGCCTTGCCGTATCTCATATTGGTGACCAAGCGCTCACAGTTCCTGCTCATATCACTGTACTCCATCTCCTTACCAACCATCTCTTTCCCAGATCTGAGCATCTCCTCTATGGGCCGTGGTTTGTACAGGTGGTCCAAGTGGTTGTTGACCTTATAGAAGCAGTTTCCCACCACTTCCGCCAGGAGCTGCCTTTTCACCTCCCCTAAGCCAGTGGGGGATCCAGCTTCAGACTTCTCCCCTGGAATCAGACACACGAGTATCAGGAACTGCAGGGGAGGCCAGGGAGGGAGAGAGAAGACACAAGACAGGGAAGAAGGGCCAGGGATGACACTATTGAGCTTTGGTTCTGTCCCTTCACCAATGTGATGCAGTGGTTCTCAACCTTTCTAATGCAGCAACCGTTTAATACAGTTCCTCATGTTGTGGTGACCTCCAACCATAAAATTATTTTTGTTGCTATGTTATAACTGTAATTTTGCTACTGTTATGAATTGTAATGTAAATATTTGATATGCAGGATATATTTTCATTGTTTGCGACCCACAGGTTGAGAACCACTGGATTAGAGGATTCACGGATTTTAATCTTTTACTTAATGAGATATGAATACTTTTTCAAGGTAATGAATACTGTGATGGTCAGTGGCTGCTATTGTGCTCCCTTATATGCACGGACATCATCTAGTTGACCAGCCACTGTCACTGATCCTTCTTCTTTATGAGACTGTGGGGCCCAGAGACGCGGTGTTTTAATGAAATCTCTCAGCACGCCCAGCTCAAGAGCAGGGAGCTGAAGAGCTCCTAATGCTGACATAGCTCGACTTTACTGGGGCCCACGGACCACTTTCCATGCTGTGTGAGGGGCTGTGAAACCACTGAGATGCCTCCAGGTACACGGATGTGCAGTGAGCACAAGCCCTGCCCAGGGAGAACCCACACGGGTTACCAGGGTGGCATTTGGCTTTGAATTGTTCTCATCATGTCAACAAATCTCTGGAAGTTATACTTTCAACCCCCCTTACCTGGGGGAGCCAGGTGGACCACATAACCATCGCCCACGTAGAGGGCCCAGTGCGAGGAGCCAGTGCGGGAAATCTCAATCAGGTCTCCAGGCATGGGCTCTGCACGAAACTGCAAGAAAACAGCCAGGAAGGTGAGACAGATTTCAGGGAGCTGCAGAGGCCCGGGCTGGGAACTGCAGCTCCGCCTGGGGATTTGCTTTCTGATGCTCACCCCATGGGAAGAATGTGTGTGTGTGGAGGACTCTAGTCCCCTGTGAGGTCCTCAGCCTGCTGTAGCTTCTAGAGGTTGCCTTGTGAGTAAATGGAAGCCTGGAAAAATATCCTTGTGCATTGCAAGAGTGAAGATTTGTACAGAATGTGTATGTACTGTATGTGTGTCTGTGTGTATTGTGTATAGGTATTTTGTGTGTTTCATGTACGTACATTCACACTAGGATGCAGACTTGCATATGCAGGTGTAGTGTGTATGTGTCTGGAGGGTGTTAACACAACAGCCTGTATGTAAACCTCCTTCCCTGAGGCTGGGGCCCAGGCCCATCCCCCACAACATTGTCCAGGTAAGTCTGAGCTTCTCTGCTCTCACACACTGACCCGCATGTCTCCATCCTGTGTTTGCCCTGGCTGTGCATGGCCCCAACACCCACCACCTCACACTCTGCCCTCCCAGCCCCGGTACACGGACCCTTGAAGATGCTGAGCTGACAGACAGCAGGTGACAGCATCCTGAGGGCACCTGAGCATTGGAGAAGGCCCTCCTGTTGTTGTCCAGCTTCCTGCCCTGGGGACAGGGCTCACAGTCCCCCAGCAGGCTCTGCGGGCACATTTCCCCCATAACTGCCATCCTCCCAAGCCCAGGGGAAGGAAGCAGCACCCATGTGCTCAGCTGGGGAAACTGAGGATCAGAGAGGGAGAGGGACTTGCCCAGGGACACTCAGCTGGCAGTGGCTGCACTGGGTCTTCTCTGCCCCACCATGGTCTTCTTTCATCCCTTCCTATCTTATCACCTCCTCCCTGCTCCTCAGTGTCCTTCCCAGGGCACCACAGCTTCCTGATTTGAGAATTTTTCAGTTTATCTTCCTGTGTGTGTCTGACCTCAGCTAATCTCCTGCAGCGCTCACCCCAGGCCGCCCAATCTGAGACCAGGGGCCAGCTTCCCTTTGCCCTCATTCCATGCCAACATCCAACAGTGGTCATTTAGCCTGGAAGCTTCTCTGGAATTCACTTCTTTGTTCATTTTTCATCCCTGACTTTATTCAGGACCATCCTGTTCCCAATTATGTGACCCCATGTTTTCCTGAGAAACCCCCAGACTTCTGTCCCACCCACCCCAAGGCCTGTGTGAAGCTCCATGGTCGGGCCATTAGCTGGTGACTGGGGTTCATAGGGGAGGGGGCTTCCCTCTTGGGCTGCTAGGGCCAGAGCTCTGGGGGTGAAAGTGGGAATGGCTCTTTTGCTCATGCTCTACCTGGGCTCCAGCTCTGCAGAGGGAGGTGGTGTCAGAGCTGAGGGGAGAAGATGGGAAACCATGGCCTCAGGGATCACTGTGCTCTGTGTACTGTTCCCAAGTGCCTCCAGGAAACTTCTATCTTCAGCCCCACCTCAGCCCTTAACTCCAGACTCACACGTCCAACTGCTACCTGGGTATCTAAATGATCACCTCAAACACCCCATGTGAGCATGAAATCCCTAATTTCTATTCCAAACTCCTTCTCCCCCTCTTATTCTCCTCCACCTAGGTACCCCTAAGACCCAGTCACTGGACCTCCAGCCCTGGAGGTGCTGTGGTTCAGAAGGAAGAGTAGGGACCACTGGGGTTGAATCCCTACTACCTTGTGTTGGTAAAAGGGCAAGGAGGAAGGGGTTAAAGCTGTGCCCAGATCTTACATTATTGGGTTGCATAGAGTAGGAGGGAGCACCCATTTCTTCACATAGGGAGTGAGGATTAGAGAGATTGGGAGACTTGCCCAAGAACACTCAGCTGGAATTGGCTGCACAATGTCTTCTCTTAAGAACCTTCTTGAACCCTTACATAGGCCACAGACCTTGAGCATCTCTCCTTAGAGGGCTCCCTGGAGCCTTAGCCGACGTGTCATGGTGCAGGGTTGGCCCAGACTTTCCCTGACAGCACACTGGGCATCACGAGCTGCCTTTAGGGTGGATCTTAGAGACGAAGGATCCTAAAGGGATACAGGTGGCCAGAGCCCCAGAGTTCCTCCAAACATCCCTCCTTCTGCACATGGGGAAACTGAGGCCCAGAGAGGAAGTGCACTGTCCAAAGACCCAGAGTGGATTAGAAGCAGACCTGAATTTTGCTCTCAACACCTAACTCCCAGCCAGTGGAACCCCAGGAGCCCATGTTTGCATCATTCAGGGTAATTTTTCTTCTGGCTAGTCAGACCCATTACCCCCATTCCAAGCAGACCTCCAGAAGGGAGAGGGAGCCCCCAGAGAAGGCCTTACCTGCCGACTGCGGGCTTTGCCATATCTCAGATCCGTGACAAAGTGCTCACAGTTCCTGCTCAGGTCACTGTACTCCATCTCCTTACCAACCATCTCCTTCCCAGCATTGAGCATCTCCTTTATGGGCCGTGGTTTGTACTGGTGGTCCAAGTGGTTGATGACCTTATAGGAGCAGTTTCCCACCACTTCCATGAGGAGCTCTCTTTTCACCACCCTTATGCCGGTGGGGGCGCCAGCCTCAGAGTTCTCCCCTAGAATCAGACACAGGAGTATCAGGAACTGCAGGGGAGGCCAGGGAGGGAGAGAAGACACAAGACGGAAGAAGGGCCAGGGGATCACATTATTGAGCTTTGATTCTGTCCCTTCACCAATGTGATTGGAGAATTCAATGATTTTGCTCTTTTCCTTAACGAGCTATGAATACTTTTCATGTTACTCAATGTTGTGATGGTTAGTGGCTGCAACTGTGTTCCATTATATGAATGAACATCATCTAGTTGACCAAATCTGTATTATTGGCTGGTCCATAGCTTATCCATTGTAAACAATGGTAGTAAATTGTATTTGTTCATCTTTGCACTTGTGTGTTTCAGAAAGAGATCAAAGTTGTTCTACTCCCACTGTGTTTCAGACTCTGCTGCGCAAATTTCATATATTCCCTCACTTATTCTCCTTTTGAATTTCATGGTAAATACTATCATCTCCGTTCAGCAACTGATATTGGACCCTGAGGCATCATCAGCCTTTTCTGGCCCAGCTCTGGCCACATGGAGAGTCCACACAGCGCTTCCAGCTGGTGGCGTCCAAATCCCATTGAGCCTGGAGCCTGGGTTTTGCTCTCTAAGAGGAGGGAACTAAGGAGCAGGATACTACTCTTAGGGCAATGGAAACTAAATAGAAAATAATCAAATGGGACGACATCAAAATAAAAAGCTTCTGCACAGCAAAGGAAACCATCAACAAAACAACAAGCCCACTTCATGGGAGAACGTATTTGCCAATGTTATCACCGATAAGTGTTTAATCTCCAACATTTACAGGAAACTCATACAACTTAACAAAAGGAAGATGAACAACCCAATCAAAAAATGGGCAACGGACCTAAATAGATACTTTTTGAAAAAAGCCAAGAGAAAGGCCAAAAGACATATGAAAACATGCTCAAAGCCACTTATCATCCAAGAGATGCAAATTAAAACGACAATGCGGTACCATCTCACACCTGTCAGAATGGCTATCATCAACAAATCAACAAATGACAAGTGCTGGCAAGGATGTGGAGAAAAAGGTACCCTCGTGAACTGCTGGTGGGAATGCAGACTGTGGAGAACAGTATGGAGTTTCCTCAAAAATACTAAAAATGGAACTCCTACTTGACCCAGTGATCCCACTTCTAGGAATATATCCCAAGAAACTAGAAACACCAATTAGAAAGGATATATGCACCCCTATGTTCATAGCAGCACAATCTACAATAGCTAAGATTTGGAAACAGCCTAAGTGCCCATCAGTAGATGAATGGATTAGGAAACTGTGATACATGTACACAATGAATACTATGCTGTTGTAAAAAAGAAGGAATTCTTACCATTCACAACAGCATGGATGGAACTGGAGAGCATTATGCTAAGTGAAATAAGCCACTCAGAGAAAGATAAATATCACATGATCTCACTCATTTATGGAATATAATGAACAACATGAACTGATGAACAAAAACAGTTCCAGAGACAGAGAAGCATCTATCAGACTATAAAACCTCAGAAGGAAGGTGGGGGAGGGTGGGGATAAGGGGGAGAGATCAATCAAAGGACTTGTATACAAGCACATAGGCCTAACCAATGGACACAGAAAACAGGGGGTTGAGTGGAGGGATAGGGGGTAACATGGGGACAAGGACACATATGTAATAACTTAATCAATAAAAAAAATTTAAAAAAAGAGCAGGTGAACCAGCTGGCTCCCTTTATGTGCTGAGTCTCGAGGCTGAGGCTGCACTTTGCACCCGTCCTTGAGGAAACACCACCTGCACTCACACAGCAGGACCCGGTCCTCACACTCACGCTCTCTGTTCCCAGCCTCCTAAGTGTCGTCTGCATTAGGTGGGTTTCGCTTACTATTTGCCATCCATTCTGACAGTTTTCCACTCTGTCAGTGTAGGTGACAGCGTACAGAACCTGGTCAGTGACAAGCAGATTCCTCTGATCGTGAGACGGTTTCTGTCCAGCGAGAATGCAAACGCTTGCTGTCCGAGGTGTGGGTGCCATTGCTCTGCAGGGCACCAGCCCCTGTGCTCCCAGTGCGCGGTCTCATCCCAGCACCTTTCTTTCATGGACGATACACAGTGTGGGGCCTGCCTGCTCCTCTGACCGGCTGTCATCCTGCTCCTGCTGTCCCTGCGGTCCATCAAGGTTCCAGGTGCTCATGTGCGTCTGTGTGAGACTCTCTGTGATGTGTGACCTGGGAGAGCTGCTCCGTGGAGGGTGTTCAGGAAAGCCTCTCAGGGCGCCCTGTTCTGTGACATCCTCTGAGCAACAGGACACAGCACTGAGAGGCAGTCCCTTCCTGAGACCGGGACCCCCAGAGACGCTGCTGGTTTAGGGAAATCTGTCTGGGCGCCCAGCTAACGGGCCCGAGCTGGAGAGCGTCCAATGCGGCCCCAGCCCAGCTTCCCTGGGGCCCACGGACCTCTTTCCCTGCTGGGTCAGGACCTGAGGGACCACTGAGATGCCCCCAAGGGACAGGGATGTGCAGTGAGCACAAGCCCCGCCCAGGGAGAACCCACATGGGTTCCCAGGGTGGTATTTGGCTTTGAATTATTCTCATCATGTAAACAATCTCTGGAGAGTTACAGTTTCAACCCCCCTTACCTGGGGGAGCCAGGTGGACCACATAACCATCGCCCACATAGAGGGCCCAGTGCGAGGAGCCAGTGCGGGGAATCTCAATCAGGTCTCCAGGCTTGGGCTCTTCACGAAGCTGCAAGAAAACAGCCAGGAAGGTGAGACAGATCACAGGGGACTGCAGCTCCACCTGGGGATTTGCT